TTTTGATCCATTTTTCAATTTATTTCGTAGTTGGGAAAATTAAAAAAAATCTAGAATAAATGAATTTTTAGCTTTTATTATCAAATAACTTTCATCTGTTACAAATCCTATTTTTTTCGGTAGATGTCTTTAAATATCTATTTATTGTAGTCGGTCTCATATCGTTATTTACAAAAATATGATAAAAAATACATTTTAGGACATTATTGCCTTTTAATAACGTGTTTTGTTTAATATTCAAACGAGAAATCTACCTATCCATGTCAGGTATGGCTGAATGGCGCTTTTTTATATTGTAGGTAACTAAATAAGCGTTAAAATAAAATAGGGTGTCAATAATTGGAGCTTTTATCGTATTCATCCCAGTAATGCTCTTGGGATGTTTATTTAATTTTTTTTTATAGTCGGCCTGCGAATCCAATTCATTCGCATTCGCCAGTAACATCAATTCATCGCGCTCTCTCTCTCTCTCTGTCTCTCCCTCTCTTTCTTTCTCTATTGCTCTCTCTATCTTCCTCTCACTCTTTTTTTATCTCTGAGACAACCATAAATTTATAAAAAATCTTGTCATTTAAATGTTTATACTTCTCAGTCTGTATTGATTTTTTAATAATGGTGAATTAGATTCTTGAAAAAAATAATGAAAATAAATTTAGCAGATACTTAATAATTTTTAGAATTTTTTTAACAAATAAATTATGACAAAAAAAAATTGACATGAAGAAATTTTAAGAAATTATAAATGCAATTTTTTAAAAATAATTTTTCAAAAAAAATTTATTTATTAAATAAAATAAAAAAAAATGATCAAGTGACTATTAATTTTAATGTCATAAAAAATAAGGTAAACTTTGAAGTTACGTTTACTTCATTCATCAATTTTTTTTCTTCATTCTGTTAACTTTACCTTCTCATTTTATTTATATTCTAATAAATTTTTTAATTTTTTCAAAGCTAATTTAAACTTCTTAAATTATAAACTGTTAATTAAGATAAAAAGTACAAATTTTTTAATTCCATAGATATTTTCTTTACTTACATTTTAGTGATATTACTTATCGTCGATGACGAAATATGACTTTCGAAAGCTTCCTCAACACTCTGAAGACCAATTCCTTGACAATTTAATTCTTTACCATTATTTGTGACAGTGCACCGTTGCTCGTAATTTCGATTGTAAATTTTAGAATTAAACACAATGGGTAAAAATCCGAAAAAAATAGAATAAACTATTATTTGATTAATCCAAAACAATTTATACATCCTTCAATAAATATTCACAATTACAAAGTCATTTTTATTCGTGTCATTTTTTAAGTAAAGAACACTTTTATTTCAAATAAAATATTTTACAAATTTCTATACATACTTTTACATTTGTTTTCGTCATTATTTAAAAAAAAAATCTAAAATTTTTAAAAATATTTGAATGAAAGTTATTTTAGATCCAGCTTAAAGTTTATTCTAAAGTCAGGAAGATTTATAAAAAAAGCATAAAATGTATTTTTGTTCATGACACAATTAATTTTATTAACGTTCAGTGATTAATGTCTTTATTTTCAATTTCATTCAACAGTTCTTTGAACTTTCGGTTACTAGTTCACGTATTCCTGCTCTAATTTGCAAAATAATTTTTTGCAACAGTCTTAATTAATTTTAAAAACACTATAAATGTTTTGTTAATATTTTTTTAAATTATTGCAGGCAAAACTAGACTACAAAAGTCTTAAAATTAAATTTAAAAACACTGGTAATATTTTTAGTGTGTACACTAAGTTTAATAACCCTGCGAAACTGACTTCTCTACAATCACTATGACCCCTCCCTTTTCAGTTACTCCCTCTTTTTAGCAATCTGCTTGCTCTTGACTCCATGAATCTCCACCATCACTAACCATGAGACACACGCATACTCCTTAGTACATACAACAAAACGGCACAAAATCAACAGGGAATTAAACAGTTGATTAAACCGTGTCACGGTAAAATTCACGATGTATAGTAAGAATTGAATTTTATATAAAAAATTATTTTTTTAAATTTTCATTTTATTTACTGAATAGTCTAAAAGTTTGATAACAAACGCAGGATGTAAAAGAAAAAACGTTGACAAAAAATAATAAACATTAAAAAAATCTCTAAATTTTAATTAACTTTATAACTAGAATATATTTTACAGTATTTTTTATTCTTTGAATAACTCGCATTCTCTTTAGCTTACGTATTTGAATATAAATAATAATATACACTATTTATAGAGAGTGAGGGATGAAAAAAATAAAAAAAAAATTCTTACTAAACGTAAAAGATTTATAAGATTGCAAAATGTTGAAAAGCTCTTTTCTTATTCATGATTAAAAAAAAATAAAAATAAAAAAATAGTTTGCTTATAAAAAATTCACAACTCTACTTCACCAACTGGAAAATTTTTTACTTATGAAATTCTAATACCCAAATAATATTAGATTCTATTAAAAAACCTAAGGGCACTTTAAATTTAATTATAAATCATAGATAAAAAAAATTTTTAATTTTTTTTTATCTTAATCTATTGTTTTAACGTTTTTTTCTGTCTGCAGATAAAAAGTAGAGCTTAAAAAAATCTACAATTTTAGTATTGTTAGATTCTGAAAAAGTATCATATTGCTTTGAAATTCTAACAGCTAATCCCTGAGACCATAAAAAATTTTTTAAGCTTTTCTACGGATTTTTAATTAAAAAAATTCGATTTTTTATCCCATCCAAAAGTTGTGAAAAATCTTCCTATGTTAACAACAATCAATTATAATAAAATAATGTAGTAGATAAACCACATAGACCAAGAAAGATGAAGGAATCTTTCAATTGCAATAAATAAAATAAAAAAAAAAAATGATGTACTTTTTTGTAGACAGTCTTATGATATTAAATTGTATTTGTAGTTTTTTACCTCTTACATTGTATACATCAACGAAGTACTTAAATTCGACAATTACTGTTTATAAAACAGTAAATACAAATATGAATAAATATTTAAACAAAATATGCAGCTAACTGTGCCATTTTGTCTTTTGGCGGTCTTGATTTTCCTCTGCCGCGACTTTTATTAGAATGACCACGAGTTCGTGTTATAACGGGTTTGGACGCAACAGCTCTATGTTTTTCAATTAATTGTGTAAAAGCAGTGGTGCAAAATACACAGCCTACCATTTCCGTAGCATCGTTTGGTAATTTACTTTTATCGGGTTTATATTCAACTGCTATTAATTGTGCTCCACATTCAGAACATACTTCTGGATCAATAGATATTTTATGAGCATTTTCAAAAAAGTGAATGATAACGTCACAACGATTACATCCTAACTTCCATTTAGGTCCTGAGGAAGGATCCAGAACTAATATTCCATGATCACACTCTAAACAACTAGATATTCCATTGGAATTCAATCCATGGGGACATGTAGGATGAGTACAAGAATTACATCCTAAATTACCTTTCTTCATATCACGGAATGGTGGATTGTTATAACAATATGGGCAGAATATAAAACTCTTGCCTCGAATACCTGTTGACCATGATAATAATTCAAAGTCATCTAATGGACATTTCAATTCTTTGTAAATACGAATATTCCCATTTTGTGGTAAATTATAAGTTTCATTGCAGTGAGCGCAATGTAATCGAGTTGGTTTTGTTTGAATATATTTCATATACCGCCGACATTTACCACACCGAGATAACGCTTTCCCCGTTGCAGATAATGGAGAGAATGATACTTCAAATAGTTGATCCATTCCTTCAATATTTGAAACAAAATAATGGAATTTTTGTCTGAATATTTCTACGGTGTGATTGAGAACTGCACTGTAATTAGCTTGTCCTAACGCGATCAGATTAAGTTGTTCTTCAACTGCTGTTCTCATTGTTGGTAATACTAACTCTGGATCAATCTAAAATTAGCCAATTAATTATATGATTAGATCTTTCAAATAATTATTTATATTGATTAATGCGATTAAATTATCTGAGGAAGTCGGAACGTTAACTCAGAAAAAAAATTTCTTTTTAAAAAAATGGGAATCGTTAAGACGAGAAATTCATTAGTTGGAAAATTTAAAGAGTTTTATTTTTTAGCTAAAAAAATCAAAATTTTTATCACAGTAAGTTTTGTGTTGAAAAAAGGGGTGGTTAAGCAGAAGTTGGGCTCTACCTATTTTGGATAAAATTAAAATAAAATAAAAAATCGAAAAATTGATCGATACATTTTTGAATGCATTTTTTTTTTCAAATTGTTTTTCTTCGCGGTGGATTTATGATTAAAATTGAATATTTTGATAATTATTTGAAAATTTTTCAAATAATGATATTCTGAATTTTTTTTTAATTTATTCTATTTTTACCGATCTTTAAGAAAAAAATATTTCATAACTGGAAAAAATATCATTGTTACCATTTCATTGAAAAACATCTAAAATCGTAAATTTTGAACTTATAAATGAAAAAAAAAAAAAAAATCAATTTTTATCATAAATCCGCCGTGAAGAATGAAAAAAAATTTTTAAAAATCAATTTTTCGATTTTTTACACTAAAAAATAAGTGGAGCCCCACTTCTGAGAAATTACCAAAAAACGTTTTCTAAATTTGTGAAAAAAAAAAAAAAAAAACGATTTTGGATGAAAATTCGCAAATTGTCTATCTAAAATTGTTTTTTTTTTTTTCTAAATCAAAAAAAATTTTTCAACAAAAAAATTACTATGAAAAAATTTTGATTTCTTCAGCTAAAAAATAAAATTGTTTAAAATTTTCAACAAATTAATTTCTTATCACAACATTGCTCATTTTTTTCAAAATAAATTTTTCCGTTCAATGTAGATTCAATTTTTTTTATTGGTTCTAACTACGTGAATAGTCAAAAGTTTATGCAACTTCTCGAACGGAAAACAATTTTCACAGCGGAAACTTGCGAAAAATAAAGTTAAGAATTACAAAATTTTCTACTTTTAAATTAATAAAACTTTTTTCTTACTAAACTACTCTCATAAAATTTTTTCACTAGTTATTCGCTACGTTTTATAACAAGATTACCTTCTCTGAAATGGGAATAAATATAAAAATTTTAGTAAATACCTTTTGATATCCATGAACAAGAACGATTCCAAGTGAAGTTGGAACGAGTTTTCTTCCAGTAACAACATTGACATAATTTCTTGTACAGATATTATTGATATGTACTGGAATGGATGCATCAGTACCAATACCGTGTTTTTCCATTAGAGTGATTAATTCAGATTCGGTTAAATAATCAGGTGGCTGTGTAAAACATTCTGATAATTTTATATCACTGATATTACATTTGTCACCTTGAAAGAATTGTGGTAAACTATTGTTTTCATTTATTGACTGCCACGTAAGTAAACTTGTGTAGCCAGGATCAATGGTTGTTCGACCGACTAGAGAGAATGATTCTATGCCAATTGAAAATTTCACTGTTGTACTCAAGTACCTACAATCGGGTGCAACCTGTGAAAATATATAAAAAATATTGATTCATTACTTCACACAGATTTTTGATATGAATTAGAATTAAATTGACGACAATTTGTTACCGTTGCAATAAAATGTCGAGTAATAAAGTCATACAGTCTCCAACTATCCCCGTCTAATTCATTTCTGGAAGCAGATTTCATTGGTGTAATCGGAGGATGGTCACCAGCATCATGACCTTTTCTCGGACGATTTATTCCTTTTTCCAATATTTTTCTTACATCATCACCCCAATCGGAAGAGTTTCGTTGTTGTTTCAATGTTGCTCTGATAATAATATAATTGAAACATCAGATCAACTCATTATTATTTATAAGTTGATTTACGATAAATAAAAACTAATTTTCGCTTACAATAAATCAAAGTTTTCTGGATAAGATGTCGTTTCAGTTCGTGGATAACTGATGTATCCTTGTATGTAAAGACGCTCAGCTATCTGCATGGCATGATGTGGTCCCATACCTAATCCAGAACTTGAAATCCTCATTAACTCTACTGTGTTCAATGCTAGTGGTCGTGCTTTCGTTTTTTCGACACTTTGAACACTGACAACTCTGCAAAATAAATTCGTATTTGTTTTTTTAATATTCTGAGAGGATGGAATTTACAAGAAATTTCATTTTTATCCCTAATTATTTATATAATTAAAAGAATAAGGTAAATTTTATATCCGGCGTATTTATATGACAAAATAAGTTTTTTTTTTTTTTAATTAAATGACCTGAATTTTTGCCTTTTAAATATTTCATAAGTTTTTCAGCAATAGTTAATTTATTATAAGTTTTCGATGTAATTCTAAATAAATTCAAATTTCACGATAATCATCATTTATTTATTTTATTTTGCTCATTTGAATGTGGTTATCAAAAATAAGTCAAAAATTAATTTATATAAGGGCGAGTTTTTCAAACCGAGATAAAATTTTAGCCTAATATTTTTGGAGGAGTTTCAAATAGTTTGTTGATTCTATAAATTGTTTGCGTTAAATTTGTCCATTGAATTATTTTTATTTGATCCTGTCATAGCACTGTTATTTTTCATATTTATTTCAAAAGTACCTGAACTATGTATAGTGTAATTATAGATATCAAAAAATCATTAAGTCAACGTTTTCTTATTCATAATCCGTAAATCTCGGCAGTCGCTTAGTAATTTATAAAACATTGAAAAAAAAATTTTTTTTAATTAAAAAAAATAATATCTAGACCACGGAAAAATATACCTATCAGAGTTTAGTACCTGTTACTTGCAAAATATTAGGTTTGCGAAAATGGCTTAGATCTGAAGTCTCTGAGATTTGGACTATTGGCAAAATTTTAAATGCTTCTGACGTAATAAATTAAAATTTTCTAGGGAATTCTTATAATTTTAAAGAAATATTTCTTACATCGCTTCACGATGATCTTTCACGAGACTGAGAAATAAATTAGCTATTTCTTTGTCAAACAAGCGGTTTCTATCCCAGTTCAGAGATAATTCTAGACTATCTGATAATTTTATAGTCACTTGTAACACCCAATAAGGATCAGGTTTGAAAGTTGAAATTTCATCGTGTCTCTGGACACAAAATCCTAATGTTGGTGTTTGACAGGGTCCATATGATATTAATGAAGCATCTAAGTCACCATATTTTCCCTAAAATTATCATAAAATGTAAATTGAGGAAATGTGCAAATGATGTTTTAAAAGCTTGGTTTTCGTACTTGGAAAAATTTTGTCTGAAATCGAGTAAACGCACAACCAATACGTAAATCCAATTCTTGACGAGCATCGACACTTTTAGCTTCGTTTTCATTCGGCTTAACAAGATTCGCTAATGCATATTTAATATCACGATCAGTAATTGCTGAAAAACGGGCTCTCCATATATTCTGAGAAGGAAAATGTTCAAAAGTAATATATAACTTACAATTAACATAACTTATTAATTACTATTAATACAATATATTTTGTTCGAGATTCGCTGTTAAGATTGATTGAAAGAAAAATAAATCGCAACTTAGGGAAAAATATATAATTTATAGGAAGTGAAGTTGCTTTTGGAGCGAATACGATAAAAAGTTAGAAAGTAAATCTTATTGAAAAATTTGATGAATAGAATATAGAAAAATCTATTGATATCTTTGATCAACATCATCTACTAGCTAAATTAGTAAAATTAAACAATATTAAATGTCTTCTATGTTGTTCTTAAAAACGAATCTCAGTAATAATATTGAAACTAGCAGACATCTATCTAACAATTATTGAAATTTTTATAACGAATTAAATGTTGTAAAAAAAAAGTATTTTTTTAAATTAGCACATGTATTTTTTTTTTTAATTTCTACATGTAGAAATTTGGTTATTATTTACAAGTAGGGTCAACCCCATTTTGGGTCATAACTAGGTGAAAAATTAACAATTTTTAATTTTTTTTTATTCTGCTTGTTTTTGCGGCGCATTTATGATTAAAAATGTCGTGAAAGGAAAAAATAAAGATTTCGATAGTTTTTTTGTCTTTTAAAGTTGGAAAAAAATTGGCTTTCACACGAAAAGAATAAAATGACACTGGATATCATCCCAGATTATACTGAGTGAAAAAAATTTTTAGATAGTAGCTAATATAATTCAGATTATAATGAGTATAATCCAGATTATAATGAGTGCAATCCAGATTACAATGAGTATAAACCAGATATCACGCAGTATAATTTGGATTTTTTCAGCTACTATCTGAAATTTTTTTTCACCACAGATATCACTGAGTATAATCTCGGATGATATCCAGTGTCTTCTCGTTCTTTCCGTGCATGTTTTTGGATAACATTTCTATTTTATCTTTTTTTGATTTTTTTTTTTTTTTTTTTTTTTTTTTTTTTGAAAAATACATAAAAAAACGAACAATTAAAAAAAAATTGATCAATCTGATTAAAAAAAAAAAAAATTAACATGACCCAGCATAAGTTGACCCCACTTGTAAATAATTACCAGTAATTTTTTGTTAAATTTTTTTTTCATTGTAATTTAATTGTTAGATATCTGTTAAATTTAGTATTATATCTCCGAATAGAATCAAAAATTATAAATGTTCATATTACATTTGGATTTATCTGGCGTGCGTATTGAAGAGCATGTATAACTTCAAAACAAATATTTTCACCTTCTTTATCACAATCTAACCATAAAATTAAATAATCTAGATTTGATCCCTCTTTGGCAAGAAATGTTGGAATTTTAAGTTTAGGTACTGCTTCTTTTTTTTCTGTTGGACAAGAAAATAATTCAGCCTATAAACAATAAAAAATATTGGTTAATCCCTAATACAATATAAGGAAATATCCAACAATTGATTAACATTAATTTTTTTAGAAAAGAATTAGAAAAAAAATACTTACTGGATCCACTTTGTCCCAACTGTTATATTTACCCACAAAATCAAAACTCATAACATGACCACAAACTGAGGTCATTTTAAAATTAACAGTTTCTGATTTAAATTGTCCAACCCATTCATGTACTGAGCATGATCCATTCATTCCTAAAATAATAAATTTTAATAAAAATTAATTGATTTTTCAAATCATATGTTCTGTCAAATAAATTTTTCATTAACCTACCTTTTCTAGATGAACAGTGTCCATTACTTAAAATATTAGCCAAAGATGCGGCTAGAGATGGCTTTTCAGCCACCATAAAAGCGGTTTTCATTTTTATTTATTTATTCTAACTATTTTTAATAGTTTCAATTTTCAAAGTAAACAAAAACTAATTATTCAAATAAACTGATGTCGAATTACGATAGTCGCTAGTCGCTAGTTACACTGACACCAACTTTAATCAAGCCAACTATCAGTGTTGCAAACATAAATAAAAGTATGTAAAAATTTACATTGAAGATCGTGGCTCTACCTGTTGAGAACAATTATGCCCATGATTGGCAACGATAACGATTCATCCCAGTTTGCAAAGATCTCCATTTTTTTAAGATTCAAGGAGCGTTTTGAATGATCAAAAAAAATAATCTCATGATCAAAAATCATTGCAATATTTTTTTTAATAGTTTAAAGTATTTCACAAAAAATTTTTATCTGTAGAAATTTCCACAAAATCAAGTCGAGCAAATATTTTTTTTTAAATATTTTCACAAAATGCTTTAAATTTATATAAATTTTTTCTCTTTTTTTCAAGTTGTTTTAACTAATTTAATATTTTTATTTTATTTATAATAACAAGTAACAAGATTACTTTCTTGAAAAAATGCTTGCCTTAATCATTAAAAAATAGGCACAAAAAATTTCTTAATTTGTTTTAATTTATTGATCAAATTAGAGATTTGAATATTTTTCATTTCCCGAAGCGTTTGAATCTTCAAATTCTTCATTAGAAGCTTTGTGCTTTTAAAAATTTTTTCAATTGAAAACCAGAAATTTCAAAGAAATTATATAACATTCAAATGATCTGTTAAAAAAATGAAGTATTCAAACCATATTTACCATCTTTGCTCAATTATATCAGACTATCTATTTTTGATTTAATGTAGGTATCATGAAATAAAAAAAAAAATATATAAATAATACTATATACATATTTTTTATCTAGTAGCAATATTTTTTTAGATTAATAATAAAATAAAATAAGATAGTAACAAGCGGCGTCAAAAAATATGTTAGAAATTCTATTATTATATTAATCGCCATATAATAATTATAAATTTCTACTCTCTTCGCAGATTTTCTAATCTTGCTTGAAGATCTGCATCTGCATCTGGAAGATTGCCGCCTCCACCCGAAGTATCTTCTCCGCCGGCACCAGCCGCTGTTGCTACAGGCTGCTTAGAACCAGCAATACTGAGAGAGCCTGTAGCTTGAGGCAATCCAGATAATTGATCGGTTAGTTGGAGACCAAGTTCGTCCAAGACTTGCGCTACTACTGCATCACTGAAATAAAAGTGAAGATTTTTATTTCGCGAATTAGTTGCAATAAATTTTTGTAACAAAAAATTTATTAAAAATCAAAACTAATAAATTAGAAAAACTTGACAATGTTGTCATAATAAAAATAAGTAAATAAATTTTTATAAGGTTTTTAGTAGATTTAATAGAAATCTAACTATTGCATTGGTCCTCATGACGGAACTTTTAAAAAATTTTGCTATATTTCGACTCAACTCGTCAAGCGGATTCAGAAAATGCGTATGGTTCAAAAGTTTATGTATGTATTTGTATATATACGATTTTTGAAGTTAAGTTCTAAGATGAGCCAAATCTGTCGATTAGTTTAGAAATGAGAGCAATTAAAAAATTTTTAAAAATCGCAAAAATTTTCACTTCTACCGTATTTCCGTGCAATAACAATTAAATGCGATATCATATTCCATTTCTGTAAATTCCATCAGAAAGCTTATTTAATAAGCTTTAGTTTGCATACTTATTTATTTTCCCAAATTAAATAGTTTAGGAATGACAGAAATTTAAATCCTTCAAAATCCTTAAAAATTGGTAATTTTACTGTTTCTTTACGAAATTACTAATGAATGCGATAACTCGTAAAATTTTTTTGTAAATTGCATCTGAAAGCTTATTAAATAAACTTTAATTTTCATACCTCACTATCAGTCTAGGCCAAAAATTACCTATTTACTCTATCAGACAGATTTAATGAAATTTTACTTTTGCATTCGTTTTGACGTCATTGTTTTATTGTAACAGTAGTTGTATATTATTATTAATATTATTTTATAAAAAATATATTTTTTTTTAATCGAGAAACCTACTTGTATTTCGGCTGTCGAATAGTCATTTTTAAGTTCAAGTTACCTCAAGAGTATTATACTGTTATTTAATTTTTAACATATCATGACAGATTTTGTTCAATTACTTTTTCTATTATAATTAATTAATCATAACAATGAAATGTTATAAACTAATGATACTGAAATTAAAAGACATTTGCCAATTTTTTGGATTTTCATAAGAACTAAATTATTATAAAAAAATTTTAATAAAAAAGTTCCAAATCTAGATGTTAAAAAAAAAAAATTACAAGTGGAAATTTAAAAAAAAAAATTTTTTTCTATAATTCATTTTTTACAAAAATCAAAAAAATTGTCAGATGTTTGTTGATTTCAGTATCATTAAGAACTTTACTATAATTATCACATTATTAGTGACGCTTTTACTGGCTAAAAGGCTGTTGGGTCGATGTATCAATAAATAAATAAATAAATGTGCTTACCTTTCTTCTTCATCACCTTCATCTTCCATTGCATCATCAATAGCATCATTCATAATTTCTTCTTTCATATCCATTATTTCAGATTGTTTTTCAAATTCTTGCAAAATTTTTTGTATATGAGGTAGGTTTAGTTGTCTGAAAAAGATTTATATAATTACATATAAATACATTTTTGGAGGACCAGCAAATAAGATAAAAAGTGAAGCAAAAAGGGTGATTCTAAAATAACATTCCAGGTGTACAAATAGTGATTATAAATTATAAATTATCAACGATTATCAATTATCAATTATTAAAAATTATTTTGTTTTTCTCTTCTCTCAAATCTCTTAAATCTATCTTCTCTTTTACAGATATTATTTATTGTATATAAATATTAACTGAACATTCTACACATGAAAATGTAATATATTGTTGTAAATTGCCGAGGGCGTTTCTTTTTAAATAAACAAATAATTATACAATAATTACAAAAAATATATTATCAATTAAGAATGACTCACTTGTTCATATTCTGCATAGCTCTAGTAACACCTTTCATAGCATTTGCCATTGTATTTTGAGATTTTAACGTTTGTATTTTTAATGAAACTGCCTGAATATTCGCTTTCATTAACATAAATTTTTTAACATATCTTCGTGTTCTAACTAAATCTTTAGCCATGATTTTAACAGCATCCTAAAAATAAACAAAGTGAAAAAAGTTATAACAAACAGTGTTGAATTAATATTTTTAAGTAATGTCAATTAACATATTATCAATTACCATTTGTCCTTCTTTAGCTAATTTTTTAATATCAGCTATTATTTTTTTCTCTTGTTGTTCCATCCTTTGTCTTTCACGATCTAAATCTCTCATTGCTTTATTCAATGCCCGTTGATTTTTACGAAGCATTTCATCCGGTGTTACCCGTTTTCCAAAGAGCCACTCCATTGCGTATAATAATTAAATAAAAAATATCCAAAACAAATTAATTGAAATACTTTGGTAGCAATAACATTAAAAACTTTGGACGTTGAAATATATTTTATAAAATTATGCTTAAAACTTGCAAAGCGTAATATATTGTTTAAATATTAAATATTGTATATTAAACAGTTCACAATGAAAGAGACAATTACTGCAAAAAACAAATTTTATCAATTAATTTTATTGTGAGATAAATTTTTATTTTGTGTCAATTATAGTACTGTCACTTACTTTTTTTATCTCACATTAGTCATGACTCATAAGGAATGTATATTAACGACAATAACATAGCATAGTATAAGTATGCCATACTTATAGATAAATTGGACGCGTTCAAGTGTAACTACTGTCTTTCAGAGAATTAGCGCAATTATAATACCTGAAATCAGCACAAACCTGAACAATTTTTTTGATTTTATTTAAAAAATTAATTAATTTTCAAAAAATATTAAAAAAAAATACGCTCTTAACTTTTTCCAATTATTATTTAAATGTTAGAAAAAAAGTATCGGTTTCAGTATCATACGCCATCTCGTTTTTTTTTTATTCCTCAGTAACTTACATTAAAGTTAAATTATTAGTTTTGAACACAACCAATAAAGAACATTTCTAAAAAAAAAAAAAAAAAAAGACAAATGTCTGCAATAATATACAAAATATAAAAATAAGCTGTCATAAAATAAAACCATTCTTATAAGTTCAGTTATTTTGTTATTTTTATAGGAGAAATGAACAGCGGCTGAATGAAAAATCTTCCCGAGTCTATAAAATCTAATCTAATATAATTTATTGGACAAATGATGTAAACATTACAGTAATGATGAAAAGAAGGCAGAAAAAAATATTTTTAATTATTAAATAATAATGTCCAAGGTATAACAGGCATTTTTCTATACGGTATAATATACGAAATTAGGTTATATATAATAGTAAAAATTTTATTATTTTAAACGTTTAAAAATAAGTATTCTGAAATATTAAAATGACTAATTATCGTATTTTGTAGGATCAATTTATAAAGTATCAAATAAATCAACATAGAGAAGACAGATTTTTCAGTAAGAAAATCATGATATGTCTCTCCCGGTGAAAGGATGTTTAAGGAAACAAAGTAACTTAAGTAATCAATAATCATTTATTTATTAAATTTTAGGTAAGACTAAATTGACGATTTTCAACAAGTTAATTCGAAGTTATTAATAAGGGTCAGTTTTTCAATCCAAAATAAAATTTTATGCAGTATTAAAGTATATCTATTATATCTATATATTTTATTTATTTATTTATTCAATTTAATCGGCCCTAGAACAAGTGCTCCTTAAGGATCGTTAAGTACAGAATATTACATTAATAGTGACTAATTTTATGAACATAAAAGTAAAAATATTATATATAAATATACTAGCAATAATAACTTCATTTTTATCACAGATTAAAAAACTGGCCTGGAGTATAAATTTTTACCATTTAAAAACATTTGATACATCGAAATTAGATTTTTAAGTTGATTGATTAATTTAAATTCCTAATCTTCTGATTGTACGATATCTTATCATTCAGTGGGTATTTCTGATTTGACAATATGTGAACCTGATTTAAGTTCAAAATTTAATAGAAAAATAAAAAAAATCTAAATAACCAAATTTATCATAACATAACTGCAAGTACTCAAGTTCTTAATCTATCATTTGATATCATTTTTTTAACACGCTTATATTAACTTTGTCTGTATCTATGTATGTAACAGAATCTTTAAACTCAATTTTCGGCCACTTCAAAACGTTAGATTAATTTAAAACTTTGCACACTTATCAAGGGCTATTAACAATAAAATAATTGAATAAGTTTGACTCATTATCCTGATCAGGATCGTCAGGATTCGCAATATTTAGATTTACTGGTGAAAAGACCTGAGAAACGGTTATCATATCCAAGGAAAGCAGCAGGTGTGCAAATTATCCACTCTTATCACGGAGCTGGTTACAAACTTTATAAGTTGTAATTAAAAAAAACACGTTTTAATGGTAAATTGAACTCAAAAGTAAAAAATAATTTTCTACTTTGAAGTTGGTTTTTTTATTCAAACGTGTTTTTTAAACTATTATTTATTTCATAGGGTTACTTTGAATCTTAAGGAGGAACACCACTGTGACGATAAAAAAAAAGAGGTGATTTTCGGGAATTTTTTTGACAGAGAAAATAAAGGAATTTGGGGATCAGATTTTTTTTATTTTATTAAGGGTACATTAAAGATTATTACCCAAAATTTTTATTAAAAAATATTTAATTACTACCAAGTTATTAACAATCTCGTCGAGCACTGGAGAAAATTTCCCCCCTCCACGGTCGGTTCGACAACTCAAAAACAGATCATTTGAAAATAAAAACCCAAATTGCTTTTTAATCAGTAAGGATGTAGTTATCGTCGCACGTACGAAATTTAAAAAATTTTTTTTCGCCGGGTTAAAACAAAAAAAAAAAACAGTAAGAATAGTGAGGAAATTTTCACCAGTCGCCATTTTTTTTTAAATAAAAATTTTCAAAATTCCGTACGTGCGATGATAACTACGATGATCCTTACTGATTAAAAAGCAAAACCTTTGGGTTTTTATTTTTATTTCAGATGATCTGTTTTTGAGTTATCGAACCAACCGTGGAGGGGGGAAATTTTCTCCAGTGCTCGACGAGATTGTTAATAACTTTGTAATAATTAAATATTTTTTAATAAAAATTTTGGGTAATAATCTTTGATGTACCCTTAATAAAATAAAAAAAATCCGATCCCCAAATTCCTTTATTTTCCCTGTCAAAAAAATTCCCGAAAATCACCTATTTTTTTCGATTGTCACAGTGGTGTTCCTCCTTAATTATCTTAATTTCTTAAATATGCTGAAGTGTAACGACAGAAAACCCGCAGAAAAGATACCCGCGATAATATAAAAGGGAGAAAAAAAATTTTTCTTCAAAAAACGATGACAAATTCTTGTAGATAATTTGCTGTAGTTTTTGAAACCACCTTTTAATTTTTTCTGAGATAATTAGTTGCTGAGATATTGATGTTCAGGTATTTTGTCTGTGAGTATTTTGTTACGTTATCATATGCAGGAGGTTATAGAAATATGCAAACTGATGAATATGTATAATAATGTAACAAAAAATTTATTCTAAATAAATCAGGATATAACAATGGAACAATGTAGTATCTAAATGTTATCACTTTTATCCATTACAAATAATTTAATATAGAAAAAAAATATAACTTAGAATAAAAAGTAGGCTAAAATAATACTTAGTCTGGTAATGTTAACAAGTATTTGATTAAAAATCAATTTTCATTTATAATTTTATTGTTGGGCTGTGTCAAAAAAATTAAAGAAAGTTCATTTTTAAATTCCATTTATAGAAATTTATCAAAATAAATTAAGAATTTATTTATTTTATCAGACACTTAAATTAACTTAAAAAAATATGAAAATCATACTTTGATAAGAAGTTTCATACTTCTTTGAGATGTTTGAATTAAATTATCGAAAACAAATGTTTATAATAATTATCATTAAGTAAATGTTTTGCATCAAAAGTGTGTTTTACGATAAAATTATTTTTACAGACCGTATGTAAATAATTTCACGCGCCACTGAAAGTATTGCTCGGATGACTCAAAAACATATAACTTATTATTAACTTTATCGAATTCCAAATTAAAGATACAATAATATATAAGTTATTAATTCGAAGAGGTCAATGAAATGTCTCACTTTCATTCAATTTTTTTTTACAATTTTTTAATTAATTGAAATATCAAAAATATCAAGCGATATTACAACTAAGTTCACATTCGACGTATTTTGTTCGTAAGAAGATCAAATTTCAAAATTCAACCGACCGAAAAATCCAATTGCTATAAGGTAAAAGCCCCAATTCACAAATATAGGTATATAAATAAATGGAGTGATCATATACTGGTACATGATCATCTATTGGGGCTTTTACTTTATTAAGAAAATACTTTTTGGTATGAAAGGTAGAGGTACCTCCATACTTTCTGGAGAATATCCGACGATCTCGTTTGAAACTGGTGTGACCAAAACTTATTAGACTTTTATAAACTATTGAGCTCTTTTCGATCAAAACTTGATTTCAAAATAACAATTTCTTTAATATTTAAAAATTTTTTTCGTTGAAAGGCAATATTTTTAATTTTTCATCATATACACAATAAATTTATGATACTGAAATTAGCAGATATCTAACGATTCTTGGAATTTTCACAACCAATTAATTATTTTAAAAAATTTGCACTCATAATTTTCTACAATTTTTACATGTGAAATTTTTTAGTTAAATTTAATTCATTATAATTTAAAAGTTATAAAAATCTAAAAAATTGTTAGATATTTATTAAATTCAGTATCGTATAAATTTTGACGTAATTTACATCATAAATTTACGAAAATATCTAAATAATCAAGCTCTATAATTGAACAATTAAATATCTCGCAGGAATTTATTCATCACGCTTGTACTGTTTAATTTCATCTTTAAATTAAAATCAAATTTATTTTTGTCATTTTTACAAGCTCGTTCTGAAATTATAATTATTTTCTTACTTCTTTTTCTATTGAGAAGTAGTGATTTCTCTATAAAATAAAATTATTAAAAAAATCAATTGAGCTGTGATATGATAGAGTGGCAAGTGAATTTTTCTTTCCAATGCCACAGTTATTCTGCGGCAACCTTGTGGTACTCATAAAAATGTTTTAATGTAATTAAGACGTAGCATCAGTGAATTGGAAAAATTTTTTAAGCACTGTGGTGCTTCTGCGGTGATAAAACTGTATTCTTAACGTTTTAGCCTTAGCGCAGCATCGTTACAGTAGAAAATTTTTTACATTACTGCATATGCGGTGCTGTAGTGATTGGAAATAATTTAAAAACGTAACAAGTATAGTGTTGCCGGAATTTAAAAGTGTGAAGGCAGTTTACTTTAAATAGAAAAAGGTTTTTTTTTCATACACGGATTTTTAAATAATGTAAAATTTAATATTTGATTAATATTAGTATTTTGGAGAGAAAATTAGTAAGATAAATTTTATCGATCTCAGTTTTCAAAAGCAAGTTTTGCTATCAAATACTCTGCTACTTTTCTTCTATTCTTCTTTAATTTTTTCAATTGATTTCTGATTACCAAAATTAAATTTACTGAGAAATTCAAATATTGACTTTATATTTTCTGCCATATGCTTTTACAATTTTAAATTACTTGAAATTTTTTTTTTATATTCTTTCGAAATTAAAAGTCCATAAATAACACACTAATCTTTAAAAATTTTAATAGCCACTTTTCTTAAATATTAATTTTTTAAATAAATAATTTATTGGTAAAATAACGAAATTGATGCTAGGATTTCAAATTCAGAAGTTTGAAAATAAAATTCAGATATCATATTTCAGAAATTTTTAAGAAAAAATTGTAGTAAATATATTTTTTATTTCAAATTTAGACGAATTTTCAGAAATTAAGTATCTTTTTTTTTATTAGCGCAAATCCATAATTTTACAATAAAAAACGATGAAGAAACAAAGTTTTAAATTATTTGCTTCAAAAAAAAAAAGAAATGACCAGTAAAAAAAAATTAGTTCTCAAAAATTTCGTTGAAAAACAGCAAAATTGCTATTTTCAAAAATGTTTTATTCAAATTTGGAGTTTTTGTCATAGAATTCTGAATTAAAAAAAAAAATTTAATTTAAAATTGAAAAATAAAAATTTTTATTTTTCTAGAACGAGTCTCGATTTTTCATTTTTTTTTTTTTTTTTTTTCAGTAAGATTCAGAAAAAAAATATTACTAACTTTTTTGCAATATTTCGAATTAAAAATTATTTAATGAAATGTAATAAGAGCGTGGCTAAAAAAGAACAATGAACGAAAGTATATTACTACTAATCTTTCGAAATATTTACTATTAATTTATAGTTATTTTTATATAGTTTGATTTTTTTTTTTTTGTAAAATTACAATTAACTCGTTTAATTAATTTAATTTAAAACAATCAAATAAGAAAGTGACTAATTTTCTTAAAAAATTAAAAATTAGGGAATAAAACATCTAATTTGTTTTTTTAAAATGAGTAATGAGAAAAAAAAATATTACTTATTTCCCTGAAAAATTAATAATTAAAAAAATAAGTGTGATAATTAAAAAAAAAAATTGATAATAAGAAAAAAATATCAATTATTTCATTCAAAAATTAATAATTAGAAAAAAATTATTGCGACAAAAAAGAGCTACCGTTGGTGATATCATTAAAAAATACTTTTGTTGCCGCACACTGAATGAAAGTTAAAAAATTTTACAACAGTAAAAAATATCTTTTATTTTTTTATCGCGATTTACGTATAATAATACGTCCCTGATCACGTAATTTCCACTCATAGAGTTGACAACACTGATTTAACGAAAGGTATAACAGAAAAGCAAATTTAAGAATGAAAAAGAGTGGAACTTGGATCAATTTGATGTAGTATATATAGCCACAGTAGTATTATATTCTTTCCAATGTATAAGTAAAAAGGAAACGGCTTAACTTAAGTTAATATCTATTCGAGTATAGCTATAAGCAAGTATAAAAATGAAATGGGGCATTGGGTGAAAGTAAACTTCTCATCTTGATACACCAACTAAACTGAAACTCCTATCAGTTTCATTTTACTCGGTAAATCCAAAGGTGAATTAGTTATCAATTGACGGTTTATTTTTCTTATTTTTATTACTTTCATGACTAAAAAAGAAAGATAAGTAATCACTGAGGATAGTCCAATGATCGTGTCTTTTTACTATTTTATCTCTCCCTACTCGTGTAACATTTGTATTCTCCAATCCTCATAAAATAAATACTTAAACTATGCTCGTAGTATTTTAGTTGTTTACAGGACAATACTACAGTAGACTGTTGATGTTTTATTATTACAACTATTTATAAATGAAAATGATAATACTTGAAAGAACAAAAATGTTTATGACTTTGTCAGTTTTTTTATTGTTAATTATTAACAAAAGTTTAGCCCTAGAAAATGGGCTTGCCAGAACACCACCCATGGGTTGGTTGGCTTGGGAACGTTTCCGATGTAATACTGACTGTGAAAATGATCCTGATAATTGTATTAGGTAAGTCCTCTTTATTTATTTTATTTTTTTATTACATGAGCACATTTATATATACGTATTTTATCAGCAATCCAATAAATTTTAGAAATATTTTATTTTATTTCTTCTTTATTTTAATAATGCAAAATCTAATAAAATTTTATTGTTAAGAATAAAAGAATAGTCTTTTGAAGCTGAAAGTGTATATTTATAATTTTTCGAGTTTCATGTTAAATTTCTTTTTACTTTTACTTTCGCTGTCTGATTATATTCTTCGAACACTCGTTGTTTTTTTAATTAATCGTGAGACTGCAGATAAATTATTGAAGAAAATTTAATTATATTTATAAAATCCAATTTTCTAATAAGTTTAAAAATATTATTTTTCTATATTATTAATTTTATATTATCGTATTAATTTCAGTTTTTATTAATATGCAATAGAGGACTAATAATGCAATTCATAAAATTAATATCAGAAATAACTTTTTCTCAAGCGATCATTGCAAAACAAAAAATTTCTTAACAATAGCAAGAGAATTATCATTTATTATACTTTTTATTCCCATCAGACGAGATTGGTATTTTACTTGTATAATTATAAAATTATAATCGACTCTTAAATATATTTTCTTATATCTGTATTACTCTATTCGAATTTAAAAATTTAAATTCAAATTCGATCTTAGTGATCGATTATTACTCAATCAACTTTTCAACTATTAAATTGAGCGTTTTAAAAATGACGGTAGAATGTTTGAATCTATCTGTGTGAATAAACAGTAATTTACTTTGAAATAGTGCATTTATTTAGATCACATCTCTTTATGCGCTGATGGAGAGAACTCTTTGATCGCCAAATCGATAACCGATCTTTGTTGAGATTTTATCGTTAATGTTGATTTGGAACAGTTGAAGAAATCGATTAATCATTTTTTTATTTCGAAATCTATTTAATTAATTAACCCACACAATTTTTTGAGTAATTATGTACAAGTGGGGTCAACCCCATTTTGGGCGATAACTAGGTGAAAAATTAACATTTTTTAATTTTTTTTTGATTCTGCTTGTTTTTACGATAAAGATTTCGATAGCTTTTTTGCCTTTAAAAGTTGGAAAAAAAATTGGCTTTCATGTTTTTGGATAAAATTTCTATTTTATCTTTTTTTTTTTAAAAAAACGAACAATTTAAGAAAAAAATTGATCAATAAGATCAAAAAAAAAAAATTAACATAGCCTAGCATGGGTTGACCCCACTTGTAAATAATTACCATTTTTTGATTCGGGTACTTTTTTTTTAACTTTACCATTGTTTTAGAAATAGAACTTATTGTAATTTTTCACTTTTAATCTGAAGTAATTTAATGGCACTCTGAAAAAATTCCCATAAAATTATATAAAAAGTATAAATTTTTCATATTTTATTAAAATAAATACTCTAATGACTTAATTACAACTTTTACTGTTTATAAGTTCATTTTAATAATAGAAAATACTTTACCAGTAAAATATACACCAAGAGAAAAGGTAATTACTTGGGTTCACGATCCATAATTATTTAACACATTAAAATGATATTTAGAATTTTTTTTTTTAAACCACATATTGTTTTTTTCTAAAAATTCATCGAAAAAAAAATAGAATGAAAATAAGCAATTTTTTAAAATGATAAAAAAATTGACATTTATTTTTCTATATCATTTATTTTTACACATAGAATGCGGAGAAAAATTTTATTAACGGTTTTTAATACAGAATTTTTGTTAACATTAAAAGTTTAAGAACGATTTGAAAAATTTATTTTTACAAATTTTTATGGTTATTTACATGAATTTGCCGTAAAATAAAATAATTAAAAAAAAAATGTTTCAAAATGCTAATTTTTCGATTTTTTATGTCAAAAAAAAAAAACCAGGTGACCGTGAAATTAAAAAATCACCAAAAAAATACTTCTACTAAAGAAATTTGATATGAAAAAATATATTCATGATAATTATTAAGAATGTATATTAGTTTTATCTGAAGAATTGATCAAATTTATTGAATTATTTTTATTTTAATTCAAATAAAGCTATTAGTTTCTTCATCTATTATACCACGAAAGTAGATATTGATGTTCTTTTATCAGAAAATTGAATAATTTATTTCAACTAATTCTCAATCCAAGAAATTTTTGGTTTAATAATACTTATTAATCATATAGAAGCGGCTATCTACCTTTTTTACTTTTCGGAGAATAAAAGACAAAAATTTGTTTTATATCTAAAAATTCAAATTTAATGAAGATTCATTGTGATGTATTCATTTTTCAACATTAATATACATATATATTTTTTTTTCATGTTGTACTTCTATATAATTTTATCAGTGTAACAATATTTGAATTGAAGATTAGTAAAGTAACTTAAAATTATCACACAAGATAGTTAATCAGATCAACATTTTTAAATCAAAATATTGTCTTACAGTAAATATAATAAAACTACCGAGAATTTTTGTTGATTAAACAAACAATTTAATGTTTCAATTGAGCGAAGAAATAAAAAAATTGATTAGTTTTTTATTACCATTACTATAAAAGTGTAAAACAATTGCTATGGTAATGAAAGGAGATGTATTATAACTCACCTTCACTTAAGGTGCTAGATTACAGAGAATAGAAGATAAATATTGAACAGAAATACTCCTATTCCAGAAATCATTTAACCTTAACGGAAAATTGTTCTTGTTCCAATTAAACTGGAAATCTTTAGTTAGTTTTACACTAATTATTTGTTATTTTTTTCAATTGAGTCTTAAAAGGTATGTGTAAAATTGAGTTTCAAATAGATTCTGAGCAATCATTTATAATTTACAATCGTGCTATTGGCTTATGAGAAGTGTTTGGTTAAATATATGTCTTAGATAATGTATAATCATCATAGCTTTTAACGTATAATTTAATAGATTGAATACTTAGAAACTACAATTTTTGCTATTATATATCTTAAAAAAAAAAAAATTATCTTGTTATTTATATTCTATAACTATTTAAATAAAAATGAAATAGTTCTGATTCATCGCTGATTCAGGATCTATATGAGTGATACAAGTTTGAAAATTTAGTATTCACAAAACTGATAAAAAAAAGTAACTTGATTCAAGAGATGAAATCTTGAATCATGAAATTTTAATCAAAGTTAATTTTGCTAACTTCAAGAACTTCTTTGCTTGATTGAAAATAATTAAATTCTTTTACATAATCTTTTTGGTTCAAGATTTTTTTTTCTGAACAAAATTGAATTTTTTTATCAGTATAAGAACTTAAGAACGAGTTTTATACGAATTTTCAAGGGTTATAATTTATAATTATAAATTTTATACAAACCTTCATTTCTGAAAGAATATTATTTTCTAGCGATTTATAAAATAATTATAGAAAAATTTTGTTGGATAATTGTTAAATAAATTATCGAGTTTGTCTTCTAACACTTCTAATCACATATAAATTGATCACTTATCAATATCAAGTAAAACTTGTTGAATTTAAAATAACTACTGTATATTATAATCATATGATGAATGTTTTTAATTTATTATAATTATTTAATATTCATAATATTAAAATTGGTATTTGTTCGGTACCTTGAAAAAAATTAATCAACGGACTGATGAAGAATATTTTTTTCATAATTGTGAAGAAATCATTTTATTTTCAACATCAATTTTTAAAATTATAGAGTAAGGAAAATTTTGACGAACATGCCTTCATTATAAAATGGATTTCTATAATTAAATTTGGTATCATCAGAAAGGTTTGAACCTGAATTCGTGCTTTTTCATTGTTCTTTATTTTTTTCGATGATAGTTGATTTTTTATGTCAAGTTTTGGGAGAAATTTTGAATAGTTTGTTGGTTCTATAGGCTGGTTCTGTTACCTTTCATTAAATTTATTAGTAATTGCACGGAAAAAAGAAAAAAAATTTGGAAAATCTAAAAGTGCACGACTCATAATGCTCAGTTAATTATAAAATTATAATAAAATAAAGCGAAGGTGAAGAAATGTATGAAACAGCTGAAATAGTATGAATGTACACAATATATATAGATATACAGTTTTTTTTTTTTTTTATTTTATTAATTGCAAATAAACGACTCTGAGTTACCTGGCCATTCGCATTCGTTGACCTACAATTCTTTCAAAGAATTAAAAAAAAAAATTTGACTCAATCAATGGAGTTTTTTGCAAGTTACAGTGTTTTCAGGGTTTCATACATGACGGACAGGAAAATTTTCATAACTATTTTGATGTTTTTTCCGCATCTATTGCGGAACTTAATAAATTTTTGAAAAGGATGGCATTAATCTTCATTAAATTATCTTGATAGTAGTATGCAAAATATCTTGATTCCGCGAACTAACAAGGTCATAATAATAAAAATAGTTGACGAAATGAGGCGAAAAAAATTATTCGAACGTAAAGCACTCTCTGATGCTTCGTATCATGAGTCGTGCAAAAGGAAAAAATTATAAATTATAACATTATATACTTTACCGTGGCAGTTCATATAAAAAACTGAAAAAATTACAGTTTCAGATTTGAATTTTTACAGATTTTGTAAGAATTACATTGTAAAATGTAAATATTACATTTAAAGCTATGAAAATTAACATTCAAAATTTGAATTTTAAAAATGTTATTTCGAATTGCAATTTTTCTAGTTTTAAATTTGAAGTGACACTTATTTATAATGTAATTTTTTCCTTTTTTTTTTTTTTTTTTCCGTGTGATTTTATCGTAGTGATATTATTTTAGAAATTTATTTAAAAAATACCTTAATTATGTATAGTTTGATTAAAGATATCAAAAGAGTCATTGAGCCTAAATCTTTTAATCACAACTCGTAATTCTTGGTAGTCACATAATTTAATATTTATTTAAAGTTATCAAATATTGAATGAATCACTCATCTCAAAGTAATATTTTTTCCTCACATATATTATTGTAATTCTACAAACTTTATACAATTCCGAAGTAATATATACAAAGTCAAAGATTTTTACACCTTTTTAGTTGAGAGTTGTCATAAACTATGGGTGTGTTAGGTATTTAAACTTATTTTTTTCTCAAGAAAATTTCGTACCAGTATAACAAATAATTTTTTTGAACTTTTTTACAGTCAATTTTAACGTATTATTGAAAAATGAAAAGTAAAAAATATAACTTGAATCTCATCTTATCAGCATTTACGCCAAATTCACAGAACTGAGCTTATATTGGCACTCTTGCCATTCAAAAGTTATTTGATGAAAAAACCACATAAATAGCTTTATTTTTTATTTTCTATGACCATTGATCTTAATAAAATCACTCAAAATAATTATAAAGTATAAGTTCAGCATTTCAAATTAAACACTTTATCAATAACTTTGATGTGATATTTTTAGGCTTGAAGTATTTCTTCTCAGTTAAAAGTTATTTACGCATAAAGTCACGGTAATAACGATGGCCTGTAAATAAGGCTGTTGTTAACTTTCCGTACTGAGAACTAAAATATGAAATTTTAAAAATTCGAAAAAAAATTGATATCGTTATCCTATTATAGGCCTAGGCTGAAAACTTGAGGAATAAGTAACAGTTTTTTTAGAAAAAATTTTCAGGAAAATTGATCATTACTTGTTTTTTGGAAATCAATATTTTATATTAAAAACTTGAAAATTATATTGAAATACAATTTTTAAAATTTTTTATACTTAAAGGCCTTTAAAAAAAGAAAAAAAAAAATAACGCCCTAATCGGCAGATTTTTTGCATAGTTTTAAATGGACATTTAAAAAAAGAGTAACGTCGTTTTTTCGAAAATCGATATTTTGAAAACGGCCGGAGAAATGAATTTTTTGTTAATCAAGGAGGTCTCTTTCAACTGAAACTATAACATAAGAAGTTGTGAAAAAAAATCGGATTACGATAAAAATTAATCTACATGCATCTAGTGAGATCTAAATAGATATTATTTAGAAATCTTGGTAAGTTTAGATCAATTTACGCAGGTATTAATATTTAAATGATGGGAACTTGCTTTAGTTATCATAATCAATCATGCTACTTTTTAAAAATATTATATATCATTGAAGATTTCAACAATGTCATTTCATAATTGTTTCTTTTAAAGTTCCGTATTTCTTCATTTTTTATGGTTTACTGGGCAGAACGAGTTTATAATAATTTCTGGTAACTTCCGCTTACAACTTTTTTTGATATTCTTATTCCGATAAGTCGACTTAATCAAAAACTAGCAATTTTTAGTCACTACGTGATTGTTGAGAATTACGAATTATGATTAAAAAAATTTTTGGTTATTGATTTTTCAATATTTTAAATCAAAATATACGTACTTAATTTAGGTACATTTGAAATAAAATTTCAAAATAATATCACTATGATAAGATCAATTACCAATATATAATTTAACTCCGTGCATCTACGTTCATCTAACTTGTCATTTTTTTTTATCTACATTGTTCATCTACGTAGATATACGGAGATAAAAAATATTTTTTCCCAGGAAAGCACAAATTCAGAAAGAGCTTTCTGATGGGACTAAATTTAACCATTGAAATCTATTTTATAAATTTTACTAGTATACGTTGCGCGCGCAAGCGCGCGTGTGAATGTTGGTATGGAATTATCTATATTTTCATGCTTATGATATATTTGACCAATCACATTACGAATAAAATGTCTTCATCAATGTATATATTTTCATATTTTTCATCTAAATTATAAGAGTGGACTAGAATTTAATTTTCGCGCGCAAGCGCGCGCGTCATATTTGTTGTCATGATATATTTATGTGTTGTTTATGTATATTATATTAACTTTCAACCAATCAGAATGAGAATATTTATTTTCGACCAATCATAACACGAATAGATTGGTTTCACATACATTTCATCTCAATTTTATTATGGGATTATTATGGGACTAGAATTTAAACGCCTCATATTTATTGTCATGATGTATTTATGTGTCGTTTATGTATATTATATTCACTTTTAACCAATCAGAATGAGAATATTTATTTTCGACCAATCATAACACGAATAAATTGGTTTTGCATACATTTCATCTCAATTTTATTATGGGACTAGAATTTAATTTTCGCGCGCAAGCGCGCGCGTCATATTTATTGTCATGATATATTTATGTGTCGTTTATGTATATTATATTCATTTTCAACCAATCAGAATGAGAATATTTATTTTCGACCAATCACATCACGAATAGATTGGTTTCACATACATTTCATCTCAATTTTATTATGGGATAATACAGATATTTTCATTACAAAATTTTCCGTATTTTCTTAATTATATGTAGATAAATAAAATATGTACATTTCTTGATATGATTTTAATCTTTTTTTATGATTTATTATAGAAATTTCTTTATTAACATTCAACATACTTTTAAGCCAATACAACTTAAATATATGAATAGCAATTTTTTTTAAACTTAAAGAATTTATAAATGCTTTACGCATGTAGAAATTCAAATGTAGTGAGAGACTCAAAAACTGATCTACTGGATAAAAAATTTTTCCGATCGTTTCTTATTCAAAGAATTGATATCTATATTACACCTAAAGTGTCAGTTCTTTTTCTAATTTTAAAAGCTTAAAATAAGTGGTTTATTTTCCAAGTGGTTTGTTTGTCCGTTTTTATAACTTTGAAGTTCTAAATAATAATTTTATCTATGAAAAAGTTGCACAACACTGATATAAATTGTTGTTATCATAAATATGATAAATAATATTAATAATAATAAAACAGTTTTATTGCAATATCTTATCGATTGTTATATACATCTAATCGATAATGGAAATGACCGATATCAACATTAATTCGTTTATCAAAAAATGATTAAACACAACTTAATAGAATTTTTTTTGTTTTTAGCGATCAGCTATTCAGAACGATGGCAGATTTAGTTGTTGCTGAAGGTTATGCCGATGTTGGATATGAATACATAAATATTGATGACTGTTGGATGGAAAAAAACCGTGCTGGTAATGGCAATGTTGTCCCTGATCGAAAGAGGTTTCCATATGGTCTAAAAAGCCTTAGTGATTATGTAATATAATATTTATATCTTATATTTTTCGTTCATTTTATCTTTGATACTTATTTTTACATATTTTTGAGATCGTTTTTAGAAAGAGTAAAGCACCCTACACTGAAAAAAATCTACTTGATTCTAGAAAAATGTTTTCTTCAAAATTGTATTCTTGTTTCAAGATATTCAGTTTTTTATTTCAAGAAATTAACTAGTGAATCAATAAGTTAAAATTCTTTTAGATAAGCAGAAAGCTCACCAGAAAAATTTTATTCTAACAATGTACTTTATTGTTTTCAAAGAAGATGCACAAATATTTTTTTTTTGAATTACAATTAGTTCAAGATGTGATTGGCTTGTATCAAGATTGCCGTTAAGATAGAAAATTTCCTAATTATAAGACATCTAATTTGAAATGATTCAATCCATGCAAAGTGTCTATTGATGTATTAGTCAAACGATTTTAAATTGGTGTTAATAATTTCAAATTAGATTTTTCAATCGGAGTTCTCAAATTTCTACTACTTATTATCATTATTATGTTTCATATTTTCATAAAATATGCTGAGTACGTTTTAGAATATGTTGAAATAAAAATTTTGTTTTTTAAAAACTTTTTCTGGCTATTTTCGATCAAGAAACTACTTCTTGAACCAAAGAATGTAAAATTCAACCAAGAAAACAATTTTATTTTAATTTTTTGAAAATTGATCTATAGATCTATAGGGTGAAGAGTTTAATTATATCGATTGAAGATAATATATTCTTGAACGTAGTTACTCACCGAAAATATAGGTCTCCTAAGTCAAGAATACAAGATTCAAGTCAAAAAATTTTTAAGCAATACAACTAATCGTCTTCAAAAGTTTCTTGGATCAAAATTAGTTTTCTTAAATCAAGATAGTTTAACTCTCAGTGTAAAAGCTTATGCTTTAAAAAATTCTTTTGAAATACTAATGAATTCCATGTCTGCTTAGATTCACATGAAAGGATTGAAGTTTGGAATTTATGGCGACTATGGAAATTATACTTGTGCGGGTTATCCAGGAATTTTGGGTTACATGAAAAATGACGCTGCATCTTTTGCTTCTTGGAATGTTGATTATGTCAAACTTGATGGATGTTACGCAGATCCCTCTGACATGGATCAAGGTAACCATAATAATTATCAATTATATTAATTTTAAAAATAAAAATTATTTTCAATTAGATGATAATAAAAAATATTCTGATGCCAGGTTATCCAGAGTTTGGAGTTCATTTAAATCAAACAGGAAGACCTATGATTTACTCTTGCAGCTGGCCGGTTTATCAAATTTATGCTGGTATTAAAGTGAGTAAAATTTCATCGTATTTATTAATCACTTTACTATCAATGAAGATAATTCAAAAGTTAGGATTAAAGTAAAATCAAGTTATAGCAGAATTTTTTGATGCAAGGTCGCGGAAGATTTAAAAAAATTTTCACAATTATTGAAAATATAGTTTTGTATTTTTAATATTTTTTTTTTCGCTATGCAATAATTAACTGTGTTGAGAGCTATGAATATTTTGAGAATTATTATATGATACTGAAATCAACAGACATCTGATAATTTTTTGTATTTTTATTACAAATCTATTGTAAAAAAAAAAAATTTGCACTTTTAATCCTTTTAAATTTCTAGATGTAGAATTTTTTTGTTAAAATTTTTTTACAACAATTTAGTAGTTATAAAAATCCAAAAATTGACAGAAGTTTGTTAATTATGAATTATGATATTTTGATTTCTATGGGTTGCTTAAGATGTTTTATCTTTTAAAGAAGAGAAGTTTAGGTGTTTTTTGAATTTCAAAATTTTAGTTAGTTCGTTAAATGTTAAATGCGATTGATTCTAAAAATTTTTAAAAAATCAAATGTAAAATTATGAGGTTGTGAATTTTGTACAGAATTCTTCAGAGTATAAAAAAATTATAAGCAATTTCTAGAAATCAATACACTAATTTGAAATTTTTATACTACAATTTTGACATATAAAATGTTAGAATAACAAATAAATGAATTAGAAACTAAAAAAATTCAATTTCGAAAATTTTTGACAAATCTGCGGTTTACAGTTGAGCTTTTTTGCATGTAAAATTGGAAAATTAATATTTTGAAACTTTTTTTTTCTTCAAATTATTCTATTTCAGGGTGAATTCACGAAAATAATGGAATATAAAATTATAGGAATAAATTCTTTAATTACTTTCAGAGCTTGCGATGTTAATAAAAATTTTATATTGGCCGAAAAGTATTAATAGAATATGCCCACATAATTCTAGCAGTTTCTAGTAATTTTTTCCGTAAAAAAAAAAAAAAAAAATTTTACAAATTAAAGTCATATAAAATTTTATAATTGTATCATTTTTTTTTCAAAAAAAAATTTTTTATCGAAATTGATAATGGGTTTTGCAATTATTTTATTCTTGATGAACTTTCGAAATAAAAAAGTATGTAAATATCATTTGTATTATAGATTGAAGCATTGTAGACCGTGAAACAACAATTACCGTAAAATAACATAAAAAAAAATATATTAAAAACTAGAAAAATTTAATTTTTTCAAAATTTCATCTATTTTTGACTAATCTTATGTTATGCGATGCTCAAACATCTGTTATCAAGCTGATTTTTGAAGAGGGTTCTAAACATACTTAATATATCTTCATAAGAGACTCAAAAAAAAAGCTGGTGTTTTTTTTGTGCTATAATATTTACATTTATATGTACATGCAGCCTAATTTCTCATCTATCATTTCACACTGTAACCTTTGGAGAAATTATAACGACATCCAAGATTCATGGGCAAGTTTAGAATCAATAATTGACTACTATGGTGATAACCAAGATGATATAATATCTCATGCTGGCCCAGGTCACTGGAATGATCCCGACATGTTAATTGTCGGCAACTTTGGACTTAGTTATGAACAAAGTAAAACCCAAATGGCATTGTGGGCTATTTTAGCCGCTCCACTGTTGATGTCTGTTGACTTGAGAACTATTCGACCGGAATACAAGGCTATATTACAGAATAAAAAAATAATTGCTGTCGATCAAGATCCTCTTGGCATTCAAGGACGTAGAATTTACAAAGTGAGCTTCAATTCAATTTATTTATTTTTTTTTTTTTTTTTTTCCAGTAGCACACTATATTTAATTAAAGGTTACTTTTACTATTATATCTGTTTCGTTTATTTCAGCATAAAGGCATTGAAATTTGGGCTAGACCAATCACTCCTGTTCATCAAACTTATTATTCCTATGCGATTGCATTTTTGAACAGAAGAACAGACGGCACACCTTCGGACGTATCAGTAACACTAAAAGAATTGGGTCTTCAATATCCGAAAGGTTACAGAGTAGAAGTGAGTGCAGCTACAATTATATTTTTTCAAATATTATAGAAACCAGATTTTATAATAAAAATAATAATTCTTAATTAAACTTTACCATTTTTTCAAGGATTTATATGAAGACGTTAATTATGGAATACTAACACCAGAAACGAAGATTAAAGTGAAAGTAAATCCATCAGGTGTTGTTATCCTTCGGTGTAACGTTGAACGTGAACAATTCTTTACACGGAGCCATGTATTATCACCATTTTTACCTTTGAATCCAGCTTTTAATGTCAGAGATAATACATTTGAATAATTAATTGTTGATTTTTTTTTACTTTTCTAATAAGTGTTTACTAATAATTTTTAAAAAATTATAGATTACATTTTAAAATCAAACACTTTTTATAATTTAGAATAAATTTAATTTACTAAAATTATTATTGTTATAAAAGACTTTATTTACAGTTCCATCCGATCTATCTTATGTGTATAATTTAATAATTTACACTACGAATAATTATTAAATAACTTATTATGACTTTTTCTTAGTTTCAGTGTTAATATTAATCATTTTTGTAATACTCATTTTTCTGATATTTCATCATTTTAGTTACATCAGTATCAAATTTTTATTTAAAATTTGAAAGTATTTTTCCAAAATAATTTTTGACTTTCTAAAGAGATTGATCTGAAGATTTTTATCACTTTTTTGATTTTACAATCCTTGCCAAATGCAACAAAATCAAAGAAATTGTTGGGAAGAGGGCGTTTAATAATTTTCAAAATTTTTTGAATTTTGGAGCCAGTTAAGTTTAGAATCTATTTTTTTTTTTTTTTTTTTTTTTTTTGTATTAAAAACAACTTTAAGTGTTATGAAATTATTTAATAAATATTTTTTGGAATATTATAACTCTTCATAATCATATTAATGTGCCAAGTATGGCGTTTCGGATATAATTAGCAATTTCCGTCAAAAATCATCGACCTAGTTTTATTGGTTCAAAAATTTTGAAATTTGACCATTAATTTTTTACACAAGATATTTTGAATCGAAATTTATTTTTGAACATATTAAAATAATTGTTTCTTCTCAAATCTCAAAAAAATTCAGATGAAGTTATTCTGTAAAAAACGAATTTATTTGAACAGAAGCTTCTGAAGAATATATCTATGACAAATGTCAATAAAAAAAAAATTCAAATATGGTTGAAGTGACAATTTAGCAATAAATATTGCGAAAATTGTTTGAAGTAAAGGTTGACCTATTTCTGGCCATGAAATAAACATGGTAAAATTTTTTTTAATATTCACTTACTTCTTAATTAAAAGTTCATTGTAAAATAGAACAAAAAAAATTTTTTTTTTTTAATATCAATTTTCTTCAAATTTTGTCAGAAAATACCAAAATTAAATTTTGAGCCTTTAACTTTGATTTTTAAAAGTCCAAATTGAAAATTTCCATTCGAATAACCTGTGAAAAATATTTTTTAACTATCAAATTTCGTAATAGTAATTTTTGTGGGAAATTCAACTATCTAAAAAAAATGTGACTTGTGGACTTTTTTATTAATTCACTCTTTCAAAAGTTATTAATATTCACTTACTTCTTAATTAAAAGTTCATTGTAAATAGAACAAAATTTTTTTTTTTTTTTAATATCAATTAATATCAAACTCCTAAAAACTCGAAATATAATTTAAAAAAAATTTTTTTTGCCAATTATTTATCTTTAGACATAAAACATAAAAGAAATTTTAAAAATCACTACACTTAATTGAATAAAATTTATTAATGATTTTCGCTAAGCATTTCTTCTTTTTACATAAAAAAAAATAATTTTTTACTGTTTTCACGATTTTTATCTCGAAAGTTCCGTAAAAATTAATAATTTCAAGGAAAAAATCTGCAAAACTTCCAACGAATTTCAATTCAAAAATGTTTTCCAAACATCATAAAAAAAAAAAAAAATGCTAAATAAATAACATAATCTTTATCATGAAGAAATCCTAATTTGGGTTTACAAAAATAAAGAAATTGTGAGTTTACCATTTTAACAATAATCAAAAAAAACTTATGAGCAATAAAAAATTTTTATTAATATTTAATAAAAAATTTAATTTTTATTTCATATATTTTATTAATGTTTCAGTCTTTGCAGACCTAGAAACAGAAATTGAGTAAATTTATCGTAAATACCTCTCTTTTTTTTTATTGATAAACTAAATATTAAATGTAAGAAGTTTGATGGAGATACAAGTTGATATTGAACGGTGAATAAGTTAATTAATATTTTAACAATTATATAAACAAATAGCAATAAAATTATACTGCACACAGATGTCACTAGGGTGGTTGTTTCGTCATCATTTCCTCTTACGTTTCAGTACGGTTAAAGCTTAGCCCATCAACCCCTTATCAAGCCCCTCCAACCCCCAAACCTGGAATGTGTGAGGAAAGCTTTACAAGCAGTAGTAACATGGCTGTTTCTTTGTGGTAAAAGATTTTTTATAATACGGAAATATTTATTTTTTCAATAATATTCCGTAGTTTAACTAATAATATAATACTATGATTATAATTAGTGCGTTGTAATATATACATCAATTTATCTTCAACAATAATCTCTAACTTTAGTTGTAGTTATTTAACAATTCTAATGTTGAACTCTCACTCAAGTGATTTTACTTCCCAGTTTCAATAATATAGAATTCAAAAAATGAGATTAAACATACATTTATGACCACGGTGAGTTTAAATACTAATTACAAATTATCACACCTAATTTTTTTTTATAGTAAGTGCAGTCAAGAAGAAAATAACGTTAAGCCGCAATACCGTAAATCAATGACTTGACCAATCGACATAGTTTTCAACAATTCAAGGATATTTTTATTGTAAACTCATATATGCTTTAGTATAATGTCAAAAGTAAATATTAAAATTTTTTATTTTAAATTACATTTTAATACAATTTGAAATTTCTGAAATTTACATTTTATAAACCATTTCGATACCTCGATTTGAAACGCTTCAAGCTCTGCTCAATATTTCTTGATTTACGTAGATTTACTGTCGATTGCCTTATAAATTTTTCTTCTCATAAATAATAATTATTAGTGCGACAAATTTTAGATTTTTCACAACTAATTTTAATGGGATTCGTAATTAAATTTAATCACGATATTAATTTCAAACTCTAGCGTAAATTTACTTTTTGGGAGAAGTATAAGTAGGACAATGGGGTAAATCGATATAAGGTTTTCATTCATGGTTAACTCCCTCACACGGACATATTGCTAGTTTCTGAAACAATATGGATTTCTTTAATAACTTATAAATACTAGTATTTAGCTGAATGTATCTATTTTTTTTTTTCAACCATTGTTGACAGAATTATTTTAATTTAAGCGTTGATCTCATACAGATTTTTATCAATTTTTTTTTTTTTCGTTTGGATAAAATATAATTACAGAAGTTTAGTATACTATATTGCTTTGATATTTAATGATTTTTAGATTAAGCTTTCCGTTTTCGGATTTTTTGACTTTATTGACGTTTTTGAAAAATATCTCCAATATTTACTACAAAATTAGATTTTATCATATATGGTTCAATTATGCAAAATAAAAATTTTTTGCTATGATCTATATTAAAAGTATCACAAAATTGAAAAAAAAATTTTTTTTTTAATATCAATTTTCTTCAAATTTTGTCAGAAAATACCAAAATTAAATTTTGAGCCTTTAACTTTGATTTTTAAAAGTCCAAATTGAAAATTTCCATTCGAATAACCTGTGAAAAATATTTTTTAACTATCAAATTTCGTAATAGTAATTTTTGTAGGAAATTCAACTATCTAAAAAAAATGTGACTTATGGACTTTTTTTATCAATTCACTCTTTCAAAATTTATTATATTTAGGGTTAAAGTTGGACATTTTAAAAATTTTCAGATATATTTTATGATATTTTCAATGAAATTATTATGATTTAGATGAAAATTTTTCATTTATTTTGAATAATCCCTAATTCTGAGTGTATTAAACCCGAGAATTAATGATAAATTCCAACGCATAAAAAACAATGTAGCTAAGTGTATTTCAAATTGCAGTTTTAATAAAAAATTTCATTTTTTGACCATTAAATATCAATACTGAGGGTTCGAATTTTAACAGTCTTTATTTTGGCATTCTCTGACGACATTTCGAGATCATTTGAAAAACGGTTGACTCTGCGCAGGCCATCCCTGAAACTTCCCTCTATATTCAAGCTCAAAATGCTTGTATTGAAACATTTTGTATAGCTAAGTTTTGAGCTCTTCAATCTCAATAATACATTCAACTTTTGTACATTTCAAGCTCGAAAATCTAAAAATTATAATCAAAAAACACTTTTTTGTAAATTTTGAATTGCAATATATCTCCCGAAAGAATCAACCGATTCTGTTGTAGTTTGCGGCATGCAATGCATTTTATTGAGCACAAAAATATAAAAATTTAATTTAAAAACGGTCTCACGCAATCTTTCAGAGTTATATACAAAAAAAAACACTTTTTTCGAATTTTTTCGACAGCGATATATCTTGAGCAAATTCACCAATTTGGATCCAATTTGCGGCATTCATCAAAGTTTTTTTTTAGCACAAAAAATTATTTAATATCTGCATTATAATTTGACAAGAAATTTCAAAATTATTTAAAAAAAAACACTCTAGTTTTAAAGATATCCCGAAAAAATAGTTTTATGAAAATTTTATTTTTAATATATTTTAAAATTTACCGTGTCGAACTAATTTAAATCCACATGAAATCTATTGGCAATAGAACTCTAAACCAATAACTAACCAACTTTTAAAAACCTTAGATTTTCGTAGTGGGAGGTTAAAAATTTTTTTAATTTTTAAATAAATTAATTCTAACGTATTTTTTGCTTTAGTTGAAATTACAATATTAATATTGTATATACATTTATATAAAGAGAAGTTATTTTCATGCAAATATACAATTATCACAAGGCCATACTGTACGCTAACTAAAAGATTTTTATTCTTTTCATAAATGCAATCAGGTCTGAACAGTATGATCAGATACGAAAAAGTGGAAATAAAAAATTAAAAGATGGTTTTAGAAATGCATGAATATTATTTAAAATTGTTAATTAACTAAATTTTATTTATCTATATAATTTGCAATTGATAGGATGTTAGATGACCAAGTATCAAGATAATTTTGGTCAAGGGCGAAAATCAAACTCTATTTTGTATATCAACCGAGATTAATATCACTTGCACGAAGAAAGTTTTTTTTGTTTCAAGAATTATTTTTCTTGATTTAAAAAAAAACTCTGTTGCATGACGCGAATAATTTCTAAACCCGATGGCGCATTCTTTAACTATCAACTTAATGAATTATTTTGAGGCTTACAGTAAACCAAAACAATTTTACCACAGTTACAATTATTTTAACTTCACTTAATAGACAGAAACAAGACTGCTATTATAGTTTGTTCCCGCAGATGATGCAACTGTCTTGTTTCAACTAGTTAGTAACTGAAAGTTTCTATGCAAATGTTATCGAAGTAATATGTTATAACTAAGAGTTTGTGAGATATATAGTACAGAAATAAAATAATTAATACCCCGGATATATAGTTACAGTTTTTTTTAACCATCTTCAAATAGACAATACTCTTGACCAGTTATTCTTCATGAATAGTTGTAAATAAAAATCTTTAATTTTATATTAACGTTAAGATTTGCATAGTTTTTTTTTCTTTTAGTTAATTTTTCATGCAAAGACTCAACAGCTTGCACCAATAATAGGGTTGTCACTTAATATTATAAAGTGACAACTGTGTACAAGTGTGTTAATTTAAATCTGTTATTAAATAGCAATATAACAGTAGACTTATAATTATAATGTATTATGTTGAGACTTTAAGTAAATGTTTAGGTTTAACATTTTAATTTACCACAGTACATTACATTAACTCACTAATACTATCTAAGTCTTAATTTTCTACAGTACTTTGTTTATTTTTAATTTATTCATTTAATTTCAATGCCAAGGCGAAGGCCGAAAGGCAAAAGTACATATTTTATAAAGTAAAGTAAGTTTAGGTATTTTTTTTTTAAAAAGAATTTAGAATTAACAATTTATACATTGCACATGATAAATTATAACAAATATTTTTCACACTCGCTGTTTGACTTCTATCTCAAAATTTAAAAAGAAAATTAAAAGCAAGCTTTCAAATGATTCGGTGCTTACATTAGTGCATTTACAATCTGATATTCAAGCCCTTCTTTTGAAAAAAACGAGCAATGTTGTAATGAGAAATTAATTCGTAAATAATTTTCAATAATTTTATTTTGTAGCTAAATTAATATATATAATAAATAAAAAATTTTCTCACAGTAAATTTCTTGTTAAAAAAAAGTTTTCTAGATTTGGGAAAGAACAATTTTAGATTTTTCAACAAAAAAGTTACTGTGAGAAAAATTTTGATTTCTTCAGCTAAGAAATGAAATTATTTAAAATTTTCGACAAATTAATTTCTTGTCACAACAGTGCTCATGTTTTTAAGAGAAATCTTTTCTCTCAGTGTAAAAGATCTTAGAGGCTAAGGCATTGGTTGATAGGAGTTGATTAAATCCGAATAAGTTTAGGGCTTTTTTACTGATGATAACCAAGTGATTACACACCGAAGAACCTGTACAATGGTGCAGACTGGTCAAATGTTGATTAAAACTGTTCATAGTTGATTAAAAATCTAGAAGTAGTGTCGGCAAAACACTTTATGGAATTTTTGAGACAGCAATTCGAAACTTATGTTGACAAAACACATTTTTGAAAATTTTTCATCAACGATTGTGAAGTATAGAGCTAATTAATCTTGAAATTAATCAACATATTAAAAAAAATTCATTCCAAAAGGTCATTTTCTTAATAATTTTTTGTGAGATTTACAAAATCAATTTGACCTTTTAGTTGAGATTTTTATAAAATAAATCACATCTCAGTTGATTTCTTTGTTCAAAATTTATGAGAGGTATACACACCCGTCATCATAAATAACAAACAAAAGTGTTATATATATAATATAAAAAATAAATGCAGTCATCAGTCAATACTAAATGTATTTATGTATTGGGAAATATCACGTCACTAATGCTTTCATTTACCGCGTATATCCTCATGAACAGTGATCTGACATGCTTTCTAGAACAAAAGAACAAGTACACTATGATTATTGGAGAAAAAAAAATGAAAATTTTAATTTTTAAGTCCTTCAACTAACAATAGCTTTTAATCAAATTCAATTAATGATTATAATTAGTAGCTTTAACGTATCGTGATGACAAAGTTCCATTTAATTTAAATAGATTCAAAACAATTTTGCAATTTTGATTTAGGAATATTTTTTTCTATACAAATATATATTTTTATATTGCTCCTTATCGCTCAAATAATCTTCAAAATATTCTGCTAATTAATTTTGAAAACTACTCAGATCTAAGTATATTCTCAATAAAAATTTACCAAATGTTCCAAGCTTCAATCAAATTAGCTATTAATTTGTTCGAGAGATATTGTCGGAAAATTTTTATAAACAGACGTATAGGAAGTTATGGATAGGATTGATAATAAATAATGAGAAAATACAATATTAATATCTACATAAAGTGATTCAAATAAAATCTTTAGTTTAAAAGAATCGTATCGAGAGAAGTGTTGTTATTTGACAGAGTTTAGTCGAAGACTAACTATAAAATGTTAAAACTATTTTATTGTGAGGTCTAACCCTCTGTATTTTCCTTAGTAAAACACATGTAATGTTTTTCTTCTTATATTAACTAATTAATATTTGGTTGTACTGTACATAGTAAAATACGGAGTCCTTTGTACAACCCAAGTAGCTAAGGTTATAAAATCAAGTCTATACAGGCTTTCTTATTCTAATTGTACAAATGTGTCTTAAATGTGTTTTTCACATTTTAAAACTAATAAAATAAAATATACTATTTTTCTAAAATAAATATTTCTAAGAACAAAATTTCTAAAATATAAAACTAAAAGTTTTGTAACTGAGATTTATTTTTGCTCAGAGAATCCAACAATGCGCAATACCTTCTTGAAATTTCATAAAAATTTCATAGAATTTTATAAAAATTTATGAAATTCTATAAAATTTAATCAGGTCATGATAAATTTTATCAATTTTCAACACTGAAATACATGGAAAACTTTTTTTCCCGGTCTGATTCAAATAATATGGTTGTCATATTATTTGATACAAACATCAGCTTCATCTTTGCTTACTAAAATTTGACTACTCTTCATATCAACCAATAAACTTATTTAATGAAAACAAGTAAACCTTTTTTTTATAGAAAATATATTAGCTGATCGTATAACATAAATATTAACCTAGTTTTGCATGTGAAGAAATATATTGAATAAATTCATCGCGCAGTCGCGGATTTGCTGACAATGAAATGAACAATTAAATGTACCGCTAATGTCACTACAGGCGAGGGTGGTCTTCACGTTACAAATGAGATGCACAAGTACGTAGGGATCTTTGATGGGTAGCTTTTCATTATGAAAAGAAGAAAACTCAATTGACCGTTCTTATATTTACAGGAGAGTTGATAGCGACCTTTTTTTTACTATAAATAAATTTATCGTTTTCTTCACATTTTTGTGATTTTATTTTAATTAATTTGAAGACAAATGCTGCACGAAGTTGAGAAAAAATTTTTTTAAACAAAAAATGCATTGAAATTTAGATTTAAAGTGGATACATTCAGTTACAATAAATATAATGGATAGTAAAAAAGTTTTAGATCTTATTTTCTTCTTAGACGTGTGTCAAGTGTATTTTCAAACACGGAAAAAAAATTTGAGAGACATATATACACTTTGGGCAATAATAACTTTTGTTCGTGATGAGGACTCGGCTGAATTTTTGCGGTGGTGTCGAGCATTTAATGTGAAACATTTGAGAGAATGCCGGGATGAAAAGATTGTACAGAAAAAAAAACTTTCGAGAACTGAAAAAATTTGTTTGGAGAAACGAATTTTACGAGTTTTGCAAGAACTATTTTATTGCGGATGTCTTCCAAACAATTAAATTCTAAGCCGTTTTTAATCAAATCAGTGTTTTAACAGATAGAAAAATATATTTTTTTAGTAGTTTTTGAAATAATTTTGTTTTACACTTATCTTGATGTTTAAAAATAATTTCAGTACTTTTGCCACATCGGTGGAAGATACAAAACTTTTTAGTTGACAGTAATGTCTGAAAGCGAAGGAGAACAAACGGCTAGATCAATAGCATTAGAACAAGTTTATGTTCATGAAGTTTATGAGCAATGTGCTGAAAAAACCGCCCAAAGTCGTCATTGGCCGAAAGTTTATAAATTTCTCGAAGAACTTGAACCTGGAGCTCTTGTTTGTGATATAGGTAATGGAACAAATTCATTTTTATTAATTCAACATAATTTTCACTAATGGTCTTTTTTCTTGATTAGGTTGCGGAAATGGTAAATATTTAACTATCAATAACAATATCTTTCAAGTTGGCGCAGATAAGTGTAAAAAATTTACGGAAATCGCTCGACAAAAAAATAACGAAGTAAGTATCAATATTTTCATAAATTACAACTCTCGATTAAAATGAAGATAAATTACTATTTTATAAAATTCACAGGTATTAGTATGCGACAATTTAGTATTACCCTTTCGAGACGAAAGTTTCGATGCAGTTTTATCAATCGCTGTAGTTCATCACTTCGCAACAACCGAAAGAAGAGTAAATGCATTAAGAGAACTTGCACGTGTTTTGAGAATTGGTGGAAAATTGGTGATATCAGTTTGGGCTATGGAACAAAGACATAAAAAGGTATTTTAAAACTCTGATCAAGAAATCTAATTTGAAATAATTGAAAACAATTCAAAATGATTTGTGTTGAATATTATATAGAAATATACTTTACATGCATTGTTTGAATCATTTTAAATTAAATTTCTTAATTATGGAAGACTAAATTTTTTTATTTCATATGTTTGCATCAATTTTATGTATTAAATGGAAAATTTTGTTTCGATATAAAACTAATCTATTTAAAACTCTTCAAGTAATTTTCAAATCTTTCTAAAATTTTTTTAAATTGAAACAGTACATGAATTTTTATGCGACACTGAATCTTTTTGAAAAACTTTATATTTTTTTATGATCTTCTGAAACTTTTTCCATTTGTAAAAGACTTTGCTTTGTAATAATCTGAAGAATTTCAAGACAATTTAAAATATTCAGTCAATTCTAAAACTCTTAAATGCATTTTTTTAACTTTATTTTTTTCAGTTTGAATCTCAAGATGTCTTAATTCCTTGGCCCAAAGCATACTGCTTAAATTCCACGTGCAACTGTGGGACTAAAATTCCATGTGATGATGAGCAATGTTACCATCTAACACCAAAATCTGTTTTGGCATCAAAACGCGAACAGAAGTATAAATGTCGACAATACAAGAATGATCCTTTTGTTAATTCATCGCCATCTACTAGTAGTTTATCGAGCCCTAATGAAACTTGTTATAGTTTTTTTCGTCGTGCTTTACAGGTATTGTGTTTTTTTGTCTTATGTTACATTGTTTTCTGAAATATTTGAAGAAAAATAAATTTTTCTTTTATTTTTCTAGAAATTAGCAGGGAAGAAAAGTGTTAGTCATCGTCCTTGGTTTTTTGACTCTTTTCACAATATTAGCTGTAAAAATCACGACCATGAAATCGATTCTGATGACAATTCTGATATCGATGATATTCCTATTGAATTAAGGCGGCTAGAAAATGATAATATAAGGTTAAATAAACAGAATGATACTTTCAGTATTAAGTCTAAAAGTCTCGGTGATATTTTGGAAATTCAACACCTAGATTTAGTACGAACACGATCGAGTAACCCAGATCTATGGTCAACAGTTACTTTAGAAGAAAAAAATAATGATCGACTTTCCCAAAAAACTTTATTAGAAAAATATAAATCCCGATTAACTAAACAAAAAAGTTATTGCATAGAAGATACATATTCCGGAGAAGCTTTACAAATTACTTCCATTCGAGAATTTATTAAAAATCTTCCAGAATTACAGGCAAACGTAAGTATTTTAATTTTTACATAATTAGAATAAAGTTCTCCCGGTTTTTATAAATTTTTGACAATATTTGAATAAATATTTTCTTTGTTTACAGACCACGAAAAGTAGATCCGGAAAGCATCCAAGTATCATAAAACAATCTTCGATGAACGAGGAACTTATGTCGATCGAACGTTTAGCAGAAAGAGATCATGTACGTCACAAAATTATAAAACAAATATCATTAAATGAAGAATTTATTTATAAAAATAAAACAATGAACAAAGTAGAAGATGATATATCTAGTGGAACATCACGACGATTTCAATTATTGAAAAGTGGCCTTACTAACCGAATCAAGCAATCGACAACAAATGTGGAAAAAGTATCTTCAATAGCTATAAAAAATGGATTAGTTAAAATTTTTCAAAGTTGGAAATCATTAGATGGTAATTCTGATGATCAGACAGACAATAAAAATTTTGAAGAACCTACAACTCAACCAGAAGAAAATGCTTCGTTAGCAACTTTGAAAAAAGAAGCTGAAATTGAGCGATTTTCATCAAAAGAAGATGGTTCAGATTCATCTAAAGACAGTAGCCTACAAAGTGACACAAGTGTTGATTCTGAAGATAGTTTTGCATCAGTTATTTATGTGCCAAAAAAACAAATTTTGCCTATCGATGTCACTGCAACACCCTCCTCTCAATTACGAGCAACATCAGCGCCACCGTCTCCGAGAATTAAACATCCGCCTGATTTTCACAAACCAAAAATAAAAATGATGACAATTTTACCGTTATTAAAACAATTTCCTGCTACTAGTAAATCATTGCCACCTCCTAGCCCGCCTGGACTCTCACCAAAAACTTTTAATTCCAATACACAATCGTTTTTTCATAATCGAACTGCTGCCTACAATTTTGATAAGCCTGCAAGCAAACAATTAAATGAGCTAGTACCAATTAATTCTGAACTTAATTCTCACACTGATGTTGCGAATACTAATGATCCAATAACAAACAGCTTAATAATAAGTGCAGATGAAGATAATTCACATACTACCAAAGAAAATAACAATAAAGAAGAAATAAATCAAAATGAATTAAGTTTAAAGGATCATAAGCCATCGCCGAATTCAGCTGATAGTAATAATTCGATATTAATGCAATCTAAATGCAGTATAGAGTTTAACAAATCACCAAATGAATCACTCGACAAGTCTAATAAAGAATCTTTCAATGATGAAGATAGCAGAAAATGTAGGTTGAATCAAATAAAAGAATTATTACAACAAAAGCCAGGATTTGCAACTAGATGCTCAAAACCAGCGTTTCCTTTGGTTCGAAGAGCGTCTACAGCTACTGTGGGAAGACTAGAAGCTGTTGCAAAAACACTACCAAGACTTTTGTCGTTAGAATTGTTTAATCCAGAAACAGATGACTTGGACAGTGATTCTAGTGGTGTTTCTTCACCAGATTCTGTAGATTCTGTTGTGAGTGTTATTTCTGATGAACGTTTTACTAAAGAAATAAAAGTCCTACTGACTAAACAATCAGAAACATCAGAAGTATCTGAAATTAATAAAAAATCACCTAACAGTTCTGATGAATCTGCTGTAAATAAAGATAGGGAACAATTGAATGAATCCACAATCTTATCCATTTCTGCATCATCATCACAGTCACTTAGAATACTTGAAAGATCTGCTAGTTTAGGTAGTTATCATGAAAATTCTGCTGATAAATTAATTGAGTTACGATCCGAATCAAAAGTATTTTCAAAAGTACCAAATCATACCCACGCATCCAATTCATCGATTAACAACAATGAAACTTTTATTTATGATGATATTTGGAACAAAAAATATAATGATAATCTTATTGATTTTACTGAAAAAATAACCGGAAATTTAATCAATGATATTGATCATTATTGTAAAGAACGAACTATTGAAATTTATAATGATGTAACAATTGATAATACAACGGAACCTAATTCTAATAGTTCTTTAGTACAACAAATTTCTAGTCTTAATACATTAGAAGAAACACCAAAATCTAATTCTATGATGTGGTTAAAAAATCAAATTGGCGATCATTTTTCAAAACCCACCAATAAATTTAAAGAAGATGATCATTTTTATGGAATCGATTCTGAAGATACAATGGATTTTGTTATGGTATCAAAAACTGGGGAAGTTGAAGAAAATGAAAAATATTTAATTGAGTCAAAAATAATTACTGATGAGAAGAAAAACCAAAAACTTTCTCAAACTATAAGGTCTAATAAAAATCATAATTCTGCTGATTTAAGTGATTCATCAACATCTTATAGTTCTCCCGTGGTGTTTCAAGACTCTAACGACGTTGAGTATAAATTTATAGAAAATAAGACAATATGTCCGTACAACAAAAAATCTGAATCGGAAGATAAGTTCAGAGATAACAAATCTAATACGTCAAATAGGAATAATTACAGTGAATCATCATCGCAAGAATCTCTTCCGTCAGAACGAGAAGGTGGCGCTATTACTTATCATCAATATTATCATGTATTTAGAGAAGGCGAACTTGATCAGTTGATCAATAAATACGTTGAAAATTTACATATTATTTCTTCGTATTATGATCATGCCAACTGGTGTATTGTTGCTGAAAAAGTTCAAGTTTGGACTATATAAAATTTTATATCTTGTAAAAATTAGATATTTTATATGCTATGAATTATACGTTGCTTACTTATTTACCATCTCGAAGACATCGATTATAATGTTGAAGAAACTAATTAAGCCGTATAAGTGCATCCTGGGATTAACTAAATCGATTTTGTTTTCTTTTGTAAAAATAATTATTGTATAGCTTAAATACAACTTAATTGTAATTCAAAATATTACAATATTTGTGTGTTATATTAAAAAAAATAAATTATCATTAAATTCTATTCTTTTCATAAGTATTTATATAAATAAACTCAGAATTTAAAGACAAAACTGAGGACCGTTCGGTTCTACCGGATATGCAAAAGTAGTTTTCAATACCATGTAGAATAATAGAATCTTTAATTGTGAAATTAATCTCAAATAACAACATCAGCAGTTTTAATGAGTAGTTTTTAGAATTGACAATTTTATTGTTTAAAGTAGCTTTTCAGCTGTACGGCAATTTAAAATAAATTTTTTTTAACAAAATTCATTGTTGTAAAATAAAGAATTTTTATTTGAAAAGTTGTTTAATTTTTTATTTTCATTAATAGATAAGCTAATAATTATGTATGAGAAAAATTTTTTAAAAAAACTTAAAAGGTTGCACGGACAGTATCCCGTAAGTCATAGTAGAATCTAAATTTTTTTTTCATTAAACTTAAAAATTTAAATACGAAAATTCATTACTATAATTTAATCGTTACCTTACATTATTATTAAATAAAATAATTTAATAATTTAATTAACAACAACAATAAATAGTCAACGTTTGACTCAAGTATTTTTTCACAAAACTTGGACCTGACAACACCGTACTTAACAGCTGTTTATATTTATCTCACTGTGTAGTGTTGAGTTGAAAAACATAACCCATAAAAATACACAGGAATTACTAAAATTCAAAATTCGCGCGTTCTATTCTGTGCAACGCGTTGCCACACTGCGCTGAATCACGTGGTTTGTTTATTTTTAAATATGTCGGCCTGAAATTTTCGTGAATTTCTCATCTTTTGCATTAAAATATCTTTAAAAGCCTTCGGCAGAAAATTTTCATTTTATTTTTAACGTATTCTACGAAAGTTGATTGACTGAAATAGAAGTTTTTTATTTTTTAATCTTCCTATGAGGCAGTCACATAAATCGATATATGTGCAATCCGCCAATAGTCTCTATAGGCTACATGTTAAATTTCAATTTTTTAATAATTTATTAATGGATAACCCTTCGACAGATCTATTCAAAAAAATTAATTTAGACGTATAAGATAGCAATTCATAACATATCAAAAAATTAGCTTCTGATCTTCAAAAGTGCATTAGTGTCTGTACAACCTTAATAAATTTGTAGATATGCGGGTTCACTTATTTTTGACCTTGGCTCTTTACTCGGATGGATATCTTCGTAGCATAACTCACATCCTAACAAATGTTTAAAAAATATTTAGAATGAAATTTTAAGGACCAATTAAACAAACCTCATAAGTTCCTTAATCTTTAGTCTTTTTTATTTTTGCATACATGGGTGATTTTCCAACAATATTAATAAATAGATGGAGTATTTATTGAACTCATTTGATCAGACTGTAACAGCTTTAACGGTATTTAATAAATAGCTTATTGATTTATTCCCAATGACTTTGATATAACTACTGACTTTTTTTTTATGATTTACTCTTAACAATATTGAAGAAAATCTATATTATATTTTTATTTTTATTTAGCCTTTCCTTGGGCTGCAACAGCAGCCATAGCAGCTTTAACTGTTTCTTCGTCTCCCAAGAATTTCATTGAGACGATCGGTTTGAAATTTTCATCCAATTCATAAACAAATGGTATTCCCGTTGGTAAATTCAAACTCATTATTTGGTCATTACTCAACTCTGAAATAGCATTTAGCATGTAAATTAAAATAAATATTAATAATTTAAATTAATTAAATAATAATAGCCTCTAATAAAATTTTTATGATAAATTGCAATATTTTTTGCTATGTCAGAAATAAAACAATTAGATTGAAATATTGTTTTTTAAATCATAAAAAATCGAAAACTTAATAAGCTCAAAATTTTTTCATTATCAAATTATTTTGTTTTTGATAAAACTTAGAAAAAAAAATTGTAATTGCTCAAACAAAATTTAATCATCAAAATTTGTTAAGTATTTTGTAGAAGTTCATAAATTTGATTTACGCTAAGAAATTATAATTTTAATGAATTTTATAATTTATATTCTTGATAAAAGCATCTAAATTATTATCTTCAAATTAAAAAAATTTTCTTTGATACTTTTTAGTCAAAAATTATATCCAGAAATTTATATCAAATAATTTTCTTGTCTGCAATTTTTGTATAGTCACGAATATGAATAAATACATATAATGCGTTTCATTGATTCTTTACGGTCGGAAATTTTACAGAAAATGGAAACATCAAATTTTGGAAATCTGTGAGTAAGGAAATCAATAAATGAAAAATATGGAAAAATAAGATTTCAGAAATAATAAAAAAATGATGTGTCTTATTGAGGATACTTTGCAATATCGATTAGTTAAAAAATAGCAATGAAAAAATGTAGTAATCAAAATAATTAGAATTATTTTAAAAAAGATAAGCGTAAAATTATAAAATCAAAAAAAAAAAAGATTTCCGTGAAATTAGACGCATCAGAATATAAACATCTAAAATGACTGATATTTAAAAAAAAAAAAAGAAAAGAATAATAAATTCAGACAAGTCGAAAAAAAGACAATTATAAATTTAAAAACATAAAAAAA